CACCAAGAACGACAATGAATTAACAGTACAGTGCAGTGAAAAATGTATCAGCCAAAATCTCACTGCAAAATTACTAGGATGAATTCTTCATCAATTCACAAATCACACGTGTCGCAACGAACAAATGTTTCGAAGGCATCCCTGCTAGTTCGTTACTCTCGAACAGCTTATTCCGGAATCTTCATATTTTTGATTGAATTGAGGCTCGGACAATTCCAAAAAAACTTGATTTTTTTCATTTTATGCGAGTTCGACCATGAGAACGCATTAGCAGCATCGTAATTGTCAGCAATAGAGTGTACAATCCATAGAGGTATCCTGAACTTCTGACGCGAAAACGGCTTCGGGCTTCACTGAGTGGCATAATCCGCAATCTTCAAATTTTTAATCGTATTGGGCTCCGACGGTTCCAGAAGACTTGGTCTTTCCCGTTCCATGCAAGCTGAATGTGAATGAATTAGCAAAAGCGAATGAACAGCCATAGGCAGTGTGATCCATACAGATATCCTGAACTTGCTAGTTGAAGGCTGATATCGCTTACTACTCAACACTTCGATTGTCGGCTCGACCACTCATTTTCCTGAGTTTTCTTGACTTCTTCAGCAACCTTTGAACTGCGTCGCGAAAGACTGCTTTGAATTTATTTTTCCTCCAGATTTCAAGGCGTAGCAACTGGTAGTGAAAAAGAAGCTGCATCTTCGTAGCGCAGATCCTAGCGTCCCACTGAGAAACCAAGTGAATTTCGCATTTTACTGTTAGTACCATGCGCACTTTCATCACTACAGCCATTCGAATGCATTCTCCGAAAAACAGGCAGCTATTGTGTTGGACGAAGCCACTCGATTCCGTACTGGAAAGCCCATGCTCTTCGCTCGATAATTCAGCCCCAGTCTTCAGCCGCTGATCCAACCGACGATCCCCCGTCCCTTCCAATGCAAGCAATGAAAAGTGATGTGCAAAGACTCTTTAAATATCACAAGCTCTGCAAGTCATTTATGCAAATGTCTGGCTCTTTGACGTCGAAATATACAAGATTTCTTCGAATACGTTGCAGAATTAAAATTTCCGAGAAATCCTGCATTTTCCGACATCAAACAGTTCCACGCTTGCATGACTGATGCGCTGAAGCTTGCATGGCTATTGATGTTTCGCGCTACACTATTCATTGCCTGCACTGAAAGAAACAGGAGACTATCGCGGTTGGGTTGGTTGCTTCCAATCGCCGTCCGATCCTGAATAACTGAGGTGTGGAGAGCGATGCCGGGTCTGCCTGTCTGTTCGGGTACTTCAACTCGCCAACCACGCAGGTTTTGAAGCTGAAATTTTGTTAGTATGTTCCCCAGCCAAGTACCACCTCAGGAACGTGGTAGCTATTCTCATGCACGTCTGGGCCCCCCGTACGAGCATGTGAAAATTTTGACGAGAAAATTGCGGACTCGGGGACAAGAAAAACTAGGGAGCTGAGACCATAGGGTAATGTTCATTACTCGTGTGTGACAAAGAGATTTCAAATTCAGCTGCCCAGGACTGGCCAGGACTTACGTACGGGCACGTGAAAATTTCACTCCCATTTTCAGTGGGACGTCAGGATCAAAGCTACGGAATGCCACTGCTGTCTCGGATTCTGGAGTAGAGCAGATTCAGTCACTTGAATTCTTAGCTTCC